GCTGCTGGTCAGGCTGGGAAGGAGGCAGAGAAGTTCGGTCAGGGAGCTCAGAATGCTTTTGGTCAGCCTGGGAGGGAGGCAGAGAAGTTTGCTAAGGAGGGCAACCATGCTTTTGGTCAGCCTTCAAAGGAGGCAGAGAAGTTTGGTCAGGGGGCCCACCATGCTTTTGGTCAGGGTGCAAAAGAGGCAGAGAAGTTTGGTCAAGGGGGTCACCATGCTTTTGGTCAGGCTGGAAAGGAGGTGGAGAAGTTTGGTCAGGAGGCCCACCATGCTTTTGGTCAGGCTGGGAAAGAGGTGGAGAAGTTCGGTCATGGGGCCCACCATGCTTTTGGTCAGGCTGGGAAAGAGGCAGAGAAGTTCAGTCAGGGGGCCCACCATGCTTTTGGTCAGGCTGGAAAGGAGGTGGAGAAGTTTGGTCAAGAGGGTCACCATGCTTTTGGTCAGGCTGGGAAAGAGGCAGAGATGTTCAATCAGGGAGTCCGCTACGCCGCTGGTCAGGCTGGAAATGAGGGAGAGAAGTTTGGTCAAGGGCTTCACAGTACTGCGGGCCAGGCTGGGAAAGAGGCAGAGAAGTTAGGTCAGGGGGCCCACAATGCTTTTGGTCAGCCTGGGAGGGAGGCAGAGAAGTTTGCTCAAGATGGCAACCATGCTTTTGGTCAGCCTTCGAAGGAGACAGAGGGGGCCCACCATGCTGCTGGTCAGGCTGGGAAGGAGGCAGAGAAGTTTGGTGAGGGGGCCCACCATGCTGCTAGTCAGGCTGGGAAGGAGGCAGAGAAAGTGATCCCAGCATCCCAGCATGGACTTAGCCATGCAGCAGAGGAGGCGCTGCAGTTTGGCCAGGATCCTCATCCTGTGGCAGGGCAGGTTGGGAAAGAGGGAGGCAAAATAACCTATAGTGTCCATCCTGGTGTCAACCAGGCTGGGAAGGAGGTGGAGAAGTTTGGCCAGGGAGTTCACCATGCCGTTGAACAGGCCGGAAAGGAAGCAGACAAAGTGGTCCAAGGGGTCAACAATGGGGTCAACCAGGCCGGGAAGGAGGCAGAGAAATTTGGCCAAGGGGTCAACCATGCTGCTGGTCAGGCCGGAAAGGAAGCGGAGAAACTTGGCCAAGGTGCCCACCATGCTGCTGGCCAGGCCGGGAAGGAAGTGGACAGGTTGCAGCAGGATGTTCATAATGGGGTCAACCAAGCCAGCAAGGAGGCCAACCAGCTGCTGAATGTAGGTGAACAGGGGCGGGGAACCTGGGGAGAAGGGGGTTGTGGGAGGGAGAGGTTAAACCCGTGGGATATTTGGGGAGCCCGTATGTAGCCTTTGGTGAAAGATGCCTGGGGCAGCCATATAACCCTTCTTCCTCTGCATCTCCCTTACTAAGGAGCTGGTGGTCAGCTGGTCAGATGGATTAAGCCATTTTATCTGTAAAGTCCCACCTCAGATAATGTGGAAGGAGCCTAGTCCCACCTGAAGGGAGTTTCTCTCCTAGTTAAGGGGGCCTGCAGTGAGGGTCACGGGGCTTCTCGTGGAAACAGGAAACAGTTGTGAAATCAGATCTCTGAAGTGCAAAGAGAATGAGTGTTGAGAAAACTCAAAGAGTGTTACAGGGAGGGTGAGGAACAGCTTTGGAGATGAGCTCTGTTCTGCTTCATCTTCATAACAACACTCTGAGGTAGTCAGGGTGAGGATGCTCACTCTCCGATGCTCAGATAAGGACAGGGAGGCCCAGAGAGGCTAAGGGCATTTGCCAAGGGCATGTGGCAAGTGCACAGCTTTGGCGGCTGGCAGGTCAGGGTTCTCCTTCCTCTCCACTGCTGATCAGGGAAGGCCTCTGCCCACGTATGTAGAGGAAATACTTTGGAGGCCAGGTAAACAGTGACACTGACAACAGAGCAGGTGACAAGGAGGGACCTTCTCCAACCTCCATCAACAGTCCTTGGAATCAGCAAGCTGGGAGACCATCTTGAGGATGGACCCAGGTCTCAAAGCCCAGAGTCACATCCCTGTCAGGCAGGAAGCCAGGGGTTGAGGGGAGGGAGAAGGGGGGAGAAACAGGATAGAAAGGGAGGCAGAGAGGGTCTGGAGTCAGGCTGCCCAAGGAGAGCCAGGAGCCGGTGGTCTGTTGGAGGATTCTAGGTGGCCCTTGCTAGGGGGCGGGGTGTGGCTGAAGTACCACTGCTGAGTGACTGGGGATGGGGACAGGGATAGGGATCAGCCCGAGTTAGGGTCGAGGCTGAATCGGGTGTAGACGTGTTGATTTGGGGACGAGGTCTGTGAAGGTCCCCGTATGTGCACGTGGGCTCTGGTTCTCCTCCCAGTGAAGCCCCTTCTCAGTGGCTGGGAGCCTTTTTCTAGCACCAAAGCCAAAGGGAGCCTGGGAAAGACCAGTCGGGAGATGACAGATCTCCTTCCTGGGCTTATTCCCATCTCCATGAAATCCTTATGGCAACATGGACTTTGGGTTTTCTCTCTGGACAGTGAGCGAGGAGGCCAGGGGTCAGACTGTGCCTCCCCCCCCAGCCCGAGTCAACCTAGATGGGGGCAGGTCACTAGGGAACAGGAACTTAGGAAACCTTCAAGGATTGAGGGTGGTAGTGACCATCTGGGCTTGTCCACAGAGCAGTCATCAAGGAAGCGGGGCTACCGGCCAGCACGGAGGGGGCGCAACCACTACATTAGCATCTGGAGTAAGTCTTCTGGGCACTGCATGGACTTGGTGCAGGGAGCGGGGAGTCCTGGGGTTCCACCTAGGATGGGGTGGAGGCTGGGGACTAACTCTCTCATCCTTGAATTCCAGGCCTCGGTCAACAAGCCCTTCATCAACTTTCCAGCCCTGTGGAGGGTGAGTGTCTGTAGTTTCTACCTCCTGCCTTGCATCTGGAGAGAGAGCCTACACCCCTTTCCCATTGCCTGCTCGTGTATATGGCTTTCCTGTGGGCAGACTCAGCCTCTGCGGAGGCCACCCGACCTGTTCTCCCAGCTCTGGTCTTCCCCTTTGTCGCCTGCTCTCATGCCTGTGCTCAGTTTTGGGTGCTTTCCATTCCCACAGAAGCTGGCAGAAATAACTTCCAGAACGCTGGCACAGAGGCAGGGGGCAGTGGGGGTGCAGCTGCTGAGTCCAGCCTCTATGTGGCCACCGTGCTCCCCTCCCTCTCTCCCAGGGGCCAGCTGGCTCCCCTCCCGCCCCCCCCCTCAGTGAGCCCCTCTGCTGCCCTGCTCTTGCTGCTTTGCCTCAGTGTGCTGGGTTGTGGGAACTTGGGGCTCTGTTCTCTGGTTGAGAGTGTAAAGGCTCCTGTGGGGTCCTGGTCCTCTCTCTGGGCTAAGTCCCAGCTTTTTCTTTGTATTTAGTGCATAAGTTGCCTGAGACTGGGGTGCACAGCTGGGATGCCCCATCTAGGCACCTGGAGCTGGAAGACATACCCTTGTGGATCCCCTGGCCCTGTGGTTGACAGAGGATCCTCTGACATAAATGCACAGGGCTTTTCCATTCCTACAGAGGCGCCCAGCCACTTGGGAGGGCAGGCTCCCTGTCTTCCAAAAATCGAGATAACACCTTCCTTAAGATATTCCCAGAACATAAGCAATTCCCAGGCCATAGTAACCAGTCTTCCTCTCCGTGCCCGGGGAGGGTAGGGCAGGGCTCCTGCTCCTCTCAGCTAGAATCCTACACTCACTTCCTCTCTCCTCTTTTCTAGAGCGTCGCAAACATCATGCCCTAAACTGATGCCCTGGCCTTGCTGAGCAGATAAATGTTCCTCTTGTCACACCAGCTGAAATGACCGGAGGAGCTGGGGGTGGGCATAGGTTCTCGGAGTCCCTTAAGGGGGCTGTACTAAGATTTGTGAATAAAAGTGACACAATGTCCTCTTCTCATCATGGTCCCCTGTGCTCCCTAAAGAGGGATGGGCGGGGATGGGAGGGGGACTTGTAATTCTTCAACTTGTTCTTTGCTGAAGGAATTGGGGGACCACTGCTTAGGATGGGTTGCACTGGAGAGCTCAGGCTGGTCGACTTGAAGAGGGCAGTTCACAGGGACAAACTCTGCTTTGCTAGTGTGCTTGGCACTGGGAGGGCACCCATGCAGGGAAGCCACTGCCTGTGAACAGCGGGGACGGGAGCACCCGAGAGAGAATGGAGGAGCCTAGGTGGAGCCCAAGCGGGTAGCGTTCTCACCCAGGGGAGTGTGGCACCCAAGGAATAACAATAATAGCTTGTATTAATTGTGTAATAAAGAGCTTGGCATGAATGACATCACTGAATCCTCCCAAGCACCCAGTTAGGTAAGAGGTACTGCCACTGCCCCCAATTTATAAGGAGGCACGTGGAGGCTTGCACAGGTTGGGAAACACGGCCAAGGTTACCTGGTCAGTAAGTGGAGGGAGAGCAGCCACCCAGCCACAGATGCTGTTCTCTTGGGCTTCGGTAGGGAGGGGACCCAGTGAGTAAGGGAAGAGGACAGAGAGGCACGTGGGAAGGTCTCTTTGGGGAAGGAGAGGGGAGGGACGAGAGGCTCAGGCAGGAGACACATTAATGATCTGAGGGAGGGACTCTACCAGTCACAAAAGGTGTCTGGAGGCAGCTCACTGCCTCCCTAGAGGCCACAGTTTCCTGCTGTATAAAGGGGAGTGAGGCGTCTGCAGGGAAGGACCGCCATGTTGCTTCCAGCTCCCAGATTCCCTCAGTGGTGGGCGGCCCAAAATAAGATCCAGTGCTTTTGCCTTTGGGAAATTGGCCTTCCTGGAGATGCATAGACTATGAAAACAAACCCAAGACAGAGCACTAACTAAGTGACCCAAGAGGGAGGGGAGGGGCCTGCATTTGCACAATAAAGGTGATATTCCTGACACTTGAGATTCACTCTCCTTTTCCTTGTTGGCAAAATATCATTTTATTCCATCTGTTTCTTCTCTGGCCTGCAATATTTTATTTGAAAATATTTCAAACATACCAAAAAGATGAAAGAATTTTACAGTGGACACTTGCTCTCGCCACTTAAATTCTGCCATTAGCTTTTTATCATGTTTGCTTGACCACACATCTATGCATCTAACTGTGTTATTAATATATTTTTGATGCATTTCAAAGTAAATTGCAGACAGCTGTTGGCTGCACTTTGATAAATAGAACCACTCATTCGTATGAGGCATTTATTGAGTGTCTCCTTTTACGGCACTGTTTCCTATGCACTGGGGAAGTCCTTCCTGGAGGCAGGGATTGTATTTTCAAAGACAATATTGAAGGGTACCATTCATTCTCTTATCAAGTAAAAGCTTCCATTGGCTGGATTTTGATGCTCACTTTCCAGCGGGCTCTGTTTAGAGGGGATTCCTGGAAGGACAAAGAGACACAAAACAAACTATATGTGCTGATGATGGTCCCTGGAAAGCGAGAGCTCTGGGCTGATTCTGAAGGGTAAAGGAGACACACAGGGTCAAGGGTCTTCTCCTGCCTGGAGGCCTTTACTTCCGTCCCTCTGTGGGGAATGTTCTCCATGCCTCTCGGTCTCCCAGGTTGGCTCCTCCTCATCCTCAGGTCACCGCTGCCTTGGCCACCCATCCCAAACTTCTCCTGCCCTTATCATTGTCTCTACGGGTACCCTGATCTTGTCCTTCAAGTCACTTGCGACAATTTGTAATTGGATTACAAACATGACTTGTCCAACATCCACTCCCCACTAGACTAGGAGGTTCAGGAGGTGAGGTCAAGGCCGGCACAAATACCTGGCATTTGAGCAACTGGGCCTGAGCAGACTTGGCAAAGGCCATGGAATAAGGGTGAGCAAGAACTGGGCTGCTTGGCCAAGAAGGGTGGGGGTAACAGAAAGGGCCAGTTTCTGCAGATGTTGAAGAACAGGGAGAGGAGTTTGGGAGGGACTCTCGTAGCGTCTTTATTGGGTGCTTACTGGGTCTGCGCTAAGCACTTACAGACATGATTCATCCCTTCCCCACAACCACCTCATGGGGCAGGCACCACCATCACCCCTTCCTGGATGATGGGAGATAGGCTCAGGGAAGGGACAGAGTTGCCTGAGGCCACTCAGCCAGTGGTGATGGCAGGGCTCCAATTCAAGACTGCTTCCCTGCTAGTAAATGCTAGTGAGGTGGCCTGCTTCCCCGTGACCTTCAGCAAGGGAGAGGGGCTATTTCAAAATAAATCCTCTTTTAAATAAAAACCATTTCTGCCTTTGGCCTGTTCAGGACACGTGTGCATATGTAAATGTCAAAATTAAACAATCACCAAGAAATTATCCAGTAATACCAACACCCCAACAATCCCAAGAATACATATTGAGCTCTTCTGTCTGCCAAACCCTTTTCTAAAATCTGTTACATGTGTTAATCCTCATGTTCACCCAGTTGATCCTCATGTTCACCCAGTGTGACAGACCAGGGATAAAGATGGATAAAGATCATGACTAATAAATCAAAACTACATTGAGGTTCTATCTCACCCCCGTCATAATAGCTGCTAAAGAGAGATCTGCATACCTGTGTTTATCGTGGCGCTATTCACAATAGCCAACTCATGGAATCAGCCTAGATGCCCATCAAAGAATGAATGGATTAAAAACATGGAGTGTATATACAATGGAATTTCATTCGGCCATAGAGAAGAATGAAATCATGTAATTTGCAGGAAAATGGATGGAACTAGAGACCATTATATTAAGTGATATAAGCCAGACAGAAAGATAAGTATCACATCTTTTCTCTCATTTGGGGAATGTAGGGAGGGTGGAGGACGACATGAAAGATGAAGGGCCGATTAGGGAAGAGGAAGGGGACTCAGGAGAGGGGAAAGGTGGGTTAGAGTGAGAAGTAGGAAGGGTGGGTACAATAATAGCATATTATATACATGTATGGAAAGGTCACAATGAATCCTATTAATTTCTATCATTAATATGTGTAATAATCATATTAATAGGAAGAAGAAAGATCAGAAAGTAAGAATAAACTCTAGAAAAAGAAAACAAAAACAAAAAGATCACAGCTAGTGAGTGATACAGCTGGATGTGAACGTGAGGTTCAGGGCGGGCGCCCAGGAGGCAGCTAAGCTGCAGATGCCAGTGTGAGGCCCCGACCCACAGAAGGGAGCAAGGCATCCCCCAGACCCAAGGCCTCATCTGCACACTATACTTGAGTCCAGCCTTCATTCTGTTCCTGACGTCTCCTCCTGGTCTTATTCTACAAGTCTGTCCCCGCAAAGAACTCTTAGCACCTGTGTCAAAAGTCAAAGTCCTTATCTGAAGACAGTTTTAGATTACAACCATAGATCTATATGTGCATTTTTGGTCAAGTACTTGTGTTTATTGTGCACAAAGTTCATACTACATTTCATAACATCCAAGCTTTCTAGATGTCCTGAGGTGACAGTGTATCATAAAAAGTAGAGCCAGTGAATTAGCCAACTTGTAAATTTTACATCTTTTTGTTATACCTGATGGAAAAGATGCATCCTGGACATGGAATTGTGATGCCCTGGGCAGTGAATATCAGGACTGTCGATTAGGCTGCAGCAGAGGGGCAGAAGGAGCATGTAGGGAAAGGCCCAAGGCTTTACATTTTGCTGTGACCACTGGTGTGTGCGTCTTCTGTACTGTAGGAGCACTTGCATTCACTGGGAACGTGCTTTTTAGCTAATATTTTGATAGTAGAAATCTCAAAATGAACCCTCTCAGAAACATGTTTGGAGTACTCTGTTGCTTTGTCTCATTGTAAATTGAGAATTAAGGGAATCATTATTTTAGTTGTAATTCTGCCAATATGTCTCTCTACAGGCTTGTTGCCATTTTGGTTTTCAGTTTTTGTCCCCCAAGAAAGGCAGGATCACAATTTTTCTAACAGGTTGAGTTGGTATAGTATATTCTTGGTTATTAAAACTCCTCATGTGACTCTGGGATTTTGACTTGGTGATATTCATGGTGTATGTGTTGGATATGGAAAATGACAAACCCCCAAATAGTGGCCTGGGGAGAGGGGATGAGGGAGAAGGCAGTTGATCCTTTCCTTGATCCTTTCCCAATACATTCTTTCCAAGCGATAAGAGGCCAAAGCATTGATCCTTCCCCAAATAAATCCTTTTCCAGATACTGACCATTGACCCTAGACCCCCCCATCTTGCCCAGTAAAACAGACCCCAAGTTCCTGAGTGCCCAAACCGACATGTTCATTAATTAAGTCACCTCTCAGTGTAACCTGTGTAAGCACAGCTCCCCCTGGCCAGGGGCTCATTTTCCACCAGGAAAGTGGGTCCATCAGAGGCGTGACTCTGTTCCTGAGTAAAGGCTTTTGAAGATCCATGAAGTTTGCATCCGGTCTGATCCTTTTGTGCTAACAGTATGGAAAAGCACGATACACACTGTGATCTCAGTCACACAAAATGGGACCCTTGTGTGCACACAGGACGCATCTAACTAAGTTGCTTGTGGATGACTCTGTTCTTTGCTTGTGTTTTTCTGTTTCCTGTAATGCACACATTAACCTTTAAAAAAACAAAAGATCACAGCGGTCCCCCAAATCCCAGAATCTAGCCCTTTGATGTCTTTTGATCTCAACTCATCCCCACCCATTCATCTTGTGCTCCAGCCACAGTGGTCCTCAAATAGAGTAAGCAGACTCCAGTCTCAGGGCCTTTGCACTGCTTGGAATACTCTCATTCCTGAATATTCATGGTTTGTTCTCTCACTTCGTTCAGGTCTCAGCTCATTTGTTACATGAAGCAGCCCTTCTCTGACTACCTTATTTAAAATACTCCTCTGTCTTCTCTATTCCCTCCCCACCACTGTATTTTTCTGTGCAGTGATCATTACAATCTGATAATCTTATTGTCCAGCTTAACCCACCACGAACTGGAGCTTCTCAAGGAGAATGATG